GAAGGTGGCCGGCGCTTTGTTTTTTCTTTTGTTTTTCTTTGGCGCAAGCGCGGCTGGTCTTGGACTGGACTGCGCCTGCGTGCGAGGAGACAGGGGCCGGAGACCCTAGTACAGGGGTAGGCAAACCTTGGCTCGTTGATGACTCGTGGACTTCAACTCCCAGAATTCCTGAGCCAGCCATGCTGAGGGGAAAGGGAGAGGTTTCCAAGCTGAGACATGCTGGCTTAGGAATTCTGGGAGTTGAAGTCCACGAGTCGTAAAAGAGCCAAGGTGGCCTAGCCCTGCCCTAGAAGAGGGTCGGGCGCTGGAGAAGGGGAAGCTCCGCCCCCTGGCTGGAGGCTAGGCCCCGCCCACCCGGACCCAGCCGCGCCACGTGGCTGACGGGACTTCCAGGCCCATGCTCCACTCCCGTGGCTGGCCCAGGGGAGGAAAGGAAAGGCAGCTTGAGACCCTGGAACGCCCGTACACGCCCCCAGACTGCCAAACTCGGATTTTTCCTGACTGCACGTGTGAAGGGCTTTATACACGTGTATCTTGCGAGTATTTTTGGGCTGTGTACAACCTCTGACCCAGGTCAAACAGCCAGGCAGGGATTTTCCCCTCTTTTTTAAAAACTACAGGTAGCCCTTGACTCATGACCACCACTGAACCCAAAGCTTCCGTTGTTAAGTCAAGACAGTTCTGCTTGGTCTGTTTTACGACCGTCCTGTCCACGGTCGCTAAGCGAATTGCCGCATTTGTGAAGCTGAGCAACCTGGTTGTGAGAGTGACTCTGGCTTCCCCCCTTGACTCTGCCGGTTGGACGGTCGCAAAAAGGGATTGGGGGACCTCCCTGCATCCATCGTATATACTTGTCAGTTGCCAATTTGGATCCCATAACCCTGGAGATGCTGCGACGGTCGTTAAGTGTGAAAATGGTCGTGAAGTCACTCTTGACTCTGCCGGCCAGACGGTTGCAAAAGGGGATCGGGCGACCACCCTGCGACCGTTGTAAATACGAGTCAGGTTGCCAATCTGGATCCCGTAACCCTGGAGATGCTGCGACGGTCGTGAAAGTGTGAAAAATGGCCGTTCACTCTTTTTGGTTCTGTTGTGACCTCGGTCACTAAAGGAAGCATTGTAAGTCGAGGACTAGCTGCATAGGGACTTTCTGTGGGGGGCACGGGGCATAGGGAAAAGGGGGGTAAATAAATTTATCCTTCTGGTTATTAAATCATAACAGGGTACGGTAGGGGTGTCAAACTGGCGGTGCGCAAGCCGGATGTGTCCTGCCGAAACCACGCGACACGTCACGTGATGTTGCGAGTTTGACACCCGTGGTCTATGGAGATTCTCACCCATCCGGGTCACAACTGGACTTCCTTTTTTTGCTTGAAGAGGTTTCACTCCCCATCCGAGAAGCGTCTTCACGTTCTGACTAACTGTTCGGTTCCTCGATTGGAACTGGAGGAAGCTTCTTTGGACGAGAAGGGAAACCTCTTCACGTTCCGACGAACAGTTCGGTTCTTTGGTCAGAACTGGAGAAAGGTTTTTCGGACGAGAAGGGAAACATCTTCACGGGGTCGGCAACCCGCAGCTCTTTGAGCCTTCTCCTGGGGCTCCCAGCCTCCTCTGCCATTTGCAGAGAGAGGCACTTGCGCTTCTCTCTCTCTCTCTCTTTCTCTCTGTGTGTGTGTGTGTAAAAAAGAGTGGCCTCACACTGTTCTCCCATGAGCTGACAAGCTTATTAGGCAAGGCTCCTGCCTTAGCAGCATCTCAGCAGGAAGCAGGAAAGGGCAGGAGAGAGCCAGCCCAATAAGAATGGGTGTTAGCTTGTTAGAGAACAGCCTGAAGCCAGCTTGCCAGGGGAGCAGAAGATCGGAGAGAGGGAAAGAGAGGGGAGGGGGAGAGAGAGGGAGGGAGAGAGAGGGAGGGAAAGAGAGGGAGAGAAAGAGGGAGAAAAAGGGAGGGAGAGAGAAAAAGAGGGAGAGGAAAGAGGGAAAGAGGGAAGAGGAAAGAAAAAGGAAAGGGAGAGGGAAGAAAGAGGGAGAGGAAAGAGAAAAAAAGGGAAGGGGGATACGGAGAGAGAAAAAGGGAGAAAGAAGGAGGGAGAAAGAAAGAAAAAGGGAAAGAAAGAGGGAGAGAAAAGGGGGAGAGGAAAGAGAAAGGAAAGAGGAAAAGGAAAGAGAAAGGAGAAAAAGGGAGAAAGAGAAAGGGAGAAAAAGAGGGAGGAAAGGGAAAGGGGAGAGGGAAGAAAGAGAGGGAGGAATGAAAGAGGGAGAGGAGAGGGAGAGAGAGAACTCATGCACAGCAGCCTATTTCTTTTTAATTAAAACTCTTCAATCAAGCTGTCCACCCCTTGCGTGTGCGCGTGCACATGCAACTTTTGCAGCTCCCGGTGTTTTCTCTTCTCTGGGAAACGGGTCCAAGTGACTCTCTTGAGTGTTTCAGGTTGCCGACCCCTGGACTAAGCGTTTAGTTCTTCAGTCAGAACTTGAGGAAGCTTCTATGGACGAGAAGGGAAACCTCTTCAAAGGGGGGAAAAAACCAAAACAAACTCCGACTCGACAGTGGGGAATGGACGGATCGATACTCCTGGCAGACGGCTGGTAGCTTGCCGCCTTTTAGACTTGAGGCCACTTGGGTGGTGCATCGGTGTCCTCCGGGTCGC